TATATATATATATGAATATGGGAGCAGGTAGAAGAATGCCCACTTAAATCAGGACTTGTTTTAGCTATTCCAAATCATAAATTTATCCATTATCCATCATGTATAAATAAAAGCTTATAAAACCTCAAAATGTAGTTAAATAATTTCAAAGCACTAAATAAGCATTTTCATTTGAAAACAGTGCATTATTTTCTCTAACATTTATAGAGAACTGATTTTATTGAGAATTATTAAGGAAAAAATGAAAGAAAGTTTGTCTGATTTTGTGTCAGACGGTAAGAAAACCAACCTGATACGTCCTTTTATAGTGTGTCCATGTAAACAGTTTAAACTGGACATGTTGTTTTGTCGTTTCTAACTTTCTGTGCCTTGTAGACTCTGTTCCACCTGTGCCACTACGCCGTTTCCTACGACGACAGCATCTTCCCTGATCCTCACACCTTCCTGCCGCAGCGCTGGCTCCGAGGCGGCGACGACAGGACCAAGCAGCACCCCTTCGGATCGGTGCCGTTTGGTTTCGGGATCCGGGCCTGTTTAGGGCGGAGGTTGGCCGAGCTGGAGATGTACCTCCTTTTGTCCAGGGTCAGTCCTTCCATCTGTACGCCTCACATAATACACTGTTTCAGGATTAGTTAAACTCAGCAGCTCTTTTGCTGGTGTTTTTGTCTTGAGTTTAATTCACTCTCAGCTCAAAAGCCACAGTTAAAGTTGAGTGTTTGACATAAACAATCCTCTCTTTGCCTTATATTTTAGGTGATAAAGCACTACGAGGTCCGGCCAGACCCTGCTGGGAAGACAGTAAAGCCGATCACCAGAACTCTGCTGTGTCCCGCCACGCCAATCAACCTCCAGTTTCTGGACAGAGTAGCTGCTCCGGTCGAGGAGAGAGCGACAGCATAATCAGATTCTTTTATATCTGGGCTGTTTGGTATTCACGCCGCTCTGCTGTCGCGTTACTAAGCTCTTTGTTTCTGCAGAGTTCAACTGCATAAACAGTAAGAGGAATAAAGCACTGAGGTTTACAGCACAGGCTGGATGGGAGGGGCAGTAGAGCACAGATAAACCTTCTCTTCTTGTAAATCTGAAGACTCTGTCCTGCAGTTTCTTTTAATCCACCCTTTTGGAGATGTAAGGGTTTAGTTTGCACAAATCGTTGCAAATGCAAAACTGATTCATGTCCTCATTTCATATGCCACTGCCTTAAAAAGGGAGCACATCTTTTAATCAGCTTTCTATTTTATAGGGTTTTTGTTTGGAAACATCAGGAGAGATTTTAGAAAAAATGTTCTGTTTAATAGGGTTTGCACATGAAGCGGGCCTTATATAGATGTGCTTTTATATCAATTTAAAGGGAAAAATCACTTATTTTTTCTTGTATTAAACTTGTGCTAAATAGCCATACTTCTGTCGTGCCAGAACTTTACTTAAAAGTAATTTTCGTTTTAATTTAAGAGATGCTGACACATAAAGTCTGGTGTTATTGCAAAGTGAAAGTTAAGAAAAACACATACGGTAGAAGAAAAACATTAGTACAGCATAATACTGCCACCGCCATGCTTAAGGCTACTGTGCTCGCTGGGATGTATGCACAAAATCAAAACCAAAAAAAGGTTTAGTTATTAGTTTTTGTCCATTCTAGCCAGTCAGTGTAGGTGTAAAATTACTTGTTTTATCCAGGATCTAGCTTCTAGCTTCCCACACAGTGAGAAAGTGTAATTATTTTATTATAGAGTATTTCCAACTACACTGAGTGTAAATCTGCTCAAGTGTCGGGGTCAATAATCAGCTATGCAGAACAACTTTTACTCTATATGGTGTCGATAACCAAACCAGTCTATGTCTTCTTGATTTTGACATTTGAATTACCGTAATTTTCGCACTATAAGCCGCGACTTTTTCCCCATTTTTCGACCTAACAATGCGGCTTATCTATGGACTTGTACAGCTAACGGCCACTAGCGAAATACCTAAATCTATGATTTTACCATCCACCATGTTGACGTCACATTTGCTTCAACACACAAGTACAGTAGCCGCGCGCGGGGGAATGCGGAGGTCCTACGAAAGCAGATGTCTACCGCGAGTGGTACGAGACAGAACGACAGCCAGAAAGACGGACATTAAACATAAAAAACCTGCGGCTTATAGTCCGGTGCGGCTTGTATATGTACAAATCATGCAATTTAGCTTCTGTGGCTTATATTCAGCTGCGGCTAATAGTCCGAGAATTACAGTAGTAAAATGAACTCTGAAAAGTTGGCACTGGCTGTGGAGTAAATCCTACACAAACTGGGAGTTGAACCAAATTTTATCTTAAATAGTTATATTAACTTGCTAGATGTTAAAGAAACATTTTATTTTTTAACTGTGTAGGTTCATTCTCACTAAAGGTTCCTCCCCAGCATTACACTGCCACTACCCTGTTTCACAGTGGTGCGTCCTTTTTTGAAAATAGTTGATTAATTACACTCAGGTGTGTCAGTTCCTAATTCTGAAGGCGCTGGTGCAGCTTCGCTGTCAGGTCATTAATTCTGAAGGCAAATGCTTGAACTGGATTTAATTTAGAGGCATTGGAGTAAAGGGGGTTGCATAATCTAAAAATATGGCTCAAAAATGTCCTTAGCTGTATATTTATTTTTTTAATGTTAAAAAAAAACAAATTTTGTTAATCTGCTTACTTTTCTTCAGACAGATGTTTGTCTTCGTTCCTGCTTTATCTTTCTGTATAGATGATAAAATGCAATTTTAAGGGTTTTTTAAACACACAAGCATTAATTTTAAAATGAACGCAGAGATATTCTTGAAAAATATTGTTGTCTGAACTGTTTTTGGAGGTTGAGTTAATAAAAATCTGTATCATTGGTCACTGTTATGAAAGATGGACATTAATGGAATAAAAGCTTTTCTTTTTGCTTTTTTTTGTTTCATGCTTTGAATAAACGTTAAATGTGTTTAGTTGTTGGCAGAGTAAGAATAAAGGTTGTTGGTATTACCTGTTTTGCTATCAGTGGTGAAATAAATTTAAAATAATATTTTTAGATTAGAATTTTAATATTTTCTTGTTTTTAAAGACAGTTATGGTGAGCTACTTTAGGGTTGTGATGGATCACTGACATTAGATTTCTCTTTCTTTGGAGCACATTTCCAGCTATGTGTTTTAGTTTAAAAAAAAAAAAAAAAAACTAAAAACACTAAAATTAAACTTTCAGACTCAATCATTTCTGTAAAATCCTGCTCTCTACTTTGACTTTAATTAGAACAAAACAGGTGCTGATTCTATTGTATAATAATTTGTTTCTTTTTACAAAAATAGTAAATTAAACCAAAAAAATTTAATAAACAGAGTGAAACAGTTTCAGTCTTCTAGGGTTTTATATAATTGGAGAATAATAGCATATAGTTGTCAGATGAATTTAAATGTATTTTATTCAACGTTATCCATCATAAAATGTATGAATCCTCTATATTGTCACTGCTTTCAGCACTTTTAATAATTAAAGAAATAGGTCATAATTCTGCAAATAACTTTTTAACATTTTAGGCCAAACATCACCCTTTAAAAACCTTTTTTCTTTTATTCTGAAGTTTTCTTGTGTTTTTGTATTATTATTGTTTGCAATCAGTTTACCAGCTGGTCAACACTGCCCCCTTGTGGAGAAATGTACTACTGCCAGATTTCTTTTCAGTTAGATAATCTGGTTGTTCCATAAACAAACCAGAAAAGAACACAGGTGAGCACAGCTTCTGCCCCATATTGTGACTTTCACGTATAGATAAAGCTCACACATCATCTGGATCATTACCAAATTTTAGCAAATTGTACCTTGGACTGACCTTTAATTAACTTTGGTAATAATTTGTTTATAATCCTTCTATAAGTTTATAAATAGGGCACAGCATATGCCTGCAGCCTCTGGTGTTTGTTCTGCTCTCAGCTTCTTCATTTCATCTTCTGGACTATTTTAAATCCAATGCTGAATCTGTCAATAGTCACTGCTGCCATCCTCTGGTTTAGTCTGGAACTGCTTGTTCCACCAAATATTGTTAAAAAAATATATAATTTTTTAATTCCTGCATTCGGATTATGAGGTGGATCATCACCAGTATTTAAGGGATTGTTCCTTGGCCTTAGGTACACCTTTGGTAAAAATTTTATTAAAATCAGTTCATGATTTTTAAAGTTATCCTGTTCACAGAGAACGACAGATAGACTGGACTAAAAACAAAGTTCTTAAGTCAGTCAATATGAATCACCTCATTGCAGGATTTGCTGAGGTCAAGAATCACAAATAAGATTTCGGCATAAAATTATCCAAAGATTGGGAAAAAGACAGGGAGAGAAAAAAAGTAAAATGCAGAGGAACGATGTAAAAAGTTAAAACAAATGAAGACAAATCTGTATTATTGACCTGTTGTTTCATGTGTCCTATTGTCAGTTCAGAGGGCCTCATACCTGTCTTCATCCTGGCTCCTTAAATCTCTTAAATCTGCCACTAGTTGAGATAAAAAAAGGTTAAATAAAAGACATGGAAAGTTGTTTACATTTAAATTGCAATACAAACTTTTTTTTTTTAACAAACACCTAAAAGGATTTGAAATGTAGAATTTCAGACTTCTGACATCTCTGATTTAAAAGTCTTTACTTGAGACTTGACTCAGGATTTAAAGTTAAAGACTTGATATTTACTAGAGACTTAGAAAGCAATGACTTGATCTCTCCTCCACTAGGAATACACTTGAATTCAAAATACATCAGATTATGAAAACCATGGCTTTAGCTCAGCAGAGGATGTACTTCCTGCTGCAGCTGAAAATGTTGAACCTGCCAAGGACAATGATGGTGCACTTCTAATCCTCCATCAATTTTCCTTCCCTCCAGGATCAGTACTCCTCCAGGACTCTGAGGCGTGCAGGGAAGATTGTGGGTGATCCCTCGCACCCCAACACAAACTATTTCAGACACTTCCCTCTGGCAGGAGGCTGAGGTCCATCAGGACCAAAACCTCAGGCAACAAGAACAGTTTCTTCCCGTCTTCTACCAGCCTTATCAGCAAGGCCCAGAGACCCCTCTCCCTCCCCCGTTCAGGACCTAGAAGCTACACCAAAATAACATCTCCAGACCTCCTGAGTTACATCAACGCACAGTTTACTGTATATATATATATATATAGTATATAGCTATATACAGTAGTAACACTTCAAATTTTCCCACCTTTCCTTTATGGGCCCTTGCTGGTCCTTGACCAATCCCCTACAATTCCTTTTAAACATTAATCTTTGTACTAAAATATTCTTTCTGTCATGATTTTTGGACATTAAGATCTAAAGAGAAGCGCCATCTCCTGGTCAGATGCTGTAATTCAGCGAAAGGGTAGAGTCAGTAAAAAATATGCAAGAAGGGGGTCACTCCAGGGGCTGGAAGTTGCGGGGATTTTGCTGGGAGTTGGAGGGAAGTAGGTTGCCGTTTGGCTGACGTTTGACTGGGAAGGGCCATTTTGAATGGCTGCTACTTTACTATATATTGTATATAGGATATTTTGCATTGTATATCGCTATAAATGGCAAAAAGGACACTTTGTGACCTCGATGTCTGTGAAAGGTGCTATATAAATTAACTTTACTTTCTTATTTATTATAAATTCCATATTCTGATTATAAATCTGATTTGTCTGCACCATCAACACCAAGTCAAATTCATTGTGCAAACCAACTTGGCAATAAACTGATTCTGTTATAGACTTCTCTACAACTTCAGATCTCAAGCTGAGGTCCCCATGGCACGCATGGAGAAATACTGAGTTTAAATGACGTACATTTTGAATCTATAAAAAATGTTCTGATGGAAGGTGGATAAACCTGATTTCTAAGGGCTGAATAAATCCTGTATGCTTAGATAATGGTGTCCTATTGTTTAGTCCATCGATTTAAATCTGAATATCTCATGCTTCTTCTGGTGCCAGTGAGATAATTCTCAATGTGTGACAAGTTAAAGCATCAATTTGTTGTCCTTTTAGGTCAGCTGACTGCAGGCGGATGACCTCCGACCCTTTACATTAAATGCAGTAATTGTTAAGGGCCTGTTGTGTACAGAAAGCATCCTTCTGTTTCCATTCTGGCCTTAAACTGCCTGTGATGTTCTCTTCTATCCCATCAGACAGGAAACAGATTATAGCCAGAGACGGAGTGCAAAAAAAATATCCCCACAAAAATATTCTGAAAAGAAAACGGTGGAATAAAGTTTGTTGTAAAGTTTAACACAGTTCTACTATCTGAAATCTTTTGTTCTATCAAAGGAACCGCCATCATCAATTTCAGTCTCAGCACCACAGTCTGTTCTTCTTGTATAGATCTTCTTATGTGTCATCTATGCATCTATGTGTCTCCTGACTACCACTTGACAAACAGTACAGGTGGTCCTCCATTGCAACAGAAGGTGCAAATGATCTATAGCCATTTGCTTTTTTTAAACTCCTCCCCCACTTACAATAGTTTTTTTAGATACAGGTAAAAAGGCTGACAAGTTTGTCCCCTTCCAGCTACTCTATTTAAAACATGGTGTCTCCCATTGAGTGTACCCCCCCCACTATATATTTATGGACTATTAATTCTAAGCTATGAGAACGCTTAAATTATGGATATGATGATATTAGGCTTTTGTGGAGTAAGGATGTAATTTTTAAAGGAATTCTTTAATTTTGCTAATAAAGGTTGAATTTCTTAAACACTGCCCCTTTAACAGAACATATGTCTGTACTTTACTTAAAGGTATAGTGGAGGATGTTCTTTTTGCAGATGGATCATCAAAATAAGTGGTCTAATTGTCAATCATTCTGGTGATATGTTTACGTAAGGCCGTCCTACGTGCTCGTCCCCATTTTCAGTCTGACAAAGTGGAAAATTTGCAAATCTTCTTTTAGAAAGTAAGCTTGTATGAACGATGCAAACAGCAACTTTTAAACAGAGTGTGCACGAGCAGAAATGGGCTTGTGCACGCTCTCGTACGCAATCAATTGACGTTGATTGACTCTCGGGAGCAGGTAAAGGTTTGTGCATGAGAAGTTTGTTTTTTTTGTTTTACAGTCGAGAGGGTGGGTCTTTTCAAAAATTAGATAAAATCCTCCACTGTACCATTAATATGTCTGTTTTGGCTCTTGAGGGCTGCATAAATAGCCTTCACTGACCAGATCCGGGCGTTGGAACTGCCAGAGTATAAAATATAATTTTTTTGTGAGTCCAAGCAAACTTTCAAATCAATAAAATAAGAAAATTAAAGTTTTTAAATGGTCTATTACTAAATATCCTAAGAAAAAAAAAATCTGTGGGGTAATTTAAATTGGGACCTGAAATATTTTCAGAACCTGACAGGTTAGAAGAACTAATGCAAGTTAGAGAAGTCCAGACGCAGACAGACTCTTAGCAAAAGTAAAGCATAAAGTGTATCTTTTAATGGAGACCAGCCAAAAACATGAAAACAGTAAAAAAAGAAACACATAGTAAAAGAAAATGACATCAAAGTTGGTATAGATATTTGAACAAAACACCAAGATCTATCTATTCGTCACTAAATAATTTAAATACCTATTTAAACACATGTTGCCTAGCAAAGCTGTCAAGGGTTGAAGAAGAAATCATTCCAGAGTTAGCTCATAAACTAGTTATTCCTTCATCACTTTGCCGGGTCTTATCTGTGGTGAGCAGAACTGCACCCACTCAGAGCAATTAAACTTTGTGTAAAACTTTTTATACATTTTTAAATGTCTGTAATCTCTAAGAGATATGGGATCCATGACAGCAGCATTTTACGTCATGTACTGTGTGAATCATTTAAGAAAAAGAAAAAAAAACATGACTAAAAATAACTTTTCTGCAATTTCCAAAAAAGAAAAGTCAAGCTTTTTTAAAGGGGGTTTAATGCAGTTGGCTGAACAAAATAGAGGATAGCTGCCCTGCGTTCCATGCCCTTAGCATGATGCTGCCACCACTATGTTTCATCATGAGCAGTCTGTGATATGGTTTGTTCCAAAAAAGTTAAAAAACAAACCACTAGACGTTGTTTTCCAAGTTTGAAGATGTTTTGCTTCCCATCGAGGAAGCTTTTACAGTTCAAAATGTCTGGATTAGTGTTGATTTCCAGGCTCTGTAGCGTAGCCAAGCGAAGCCTTGTTATGGCTTAGAAAACATGCAGATTAAACCGAAAAAACACCCCAGTCCACCCCTTAGTAATGGGGAGTTTTTGAGGTCATTGTTGGTCTGCAATACCCGATACGGACTTATGCATCTAAAAAAGGGAGTCTTTAGGGTCATTATTGAGTCTTTAGGGTCATTGTTGGCCTGGTTGACCTGGTGAAATGTCTTTGTCCCTGCATAGCGATGAGGGTTGAGATGATAGTGGGAAGGAATCGTAGGGTTGGGAGAGCTGTAACCTGAAATGAGCCCATCTGTTTAAGGTTGTTTTTTCTCTCTTAACATAAATTACTTTCTTCACATCCCTTTCAAACCACCTGTCTTCTTTGTCCAAAATGTGAACATTCTGGTTCTCAAACGAATGTCCTTTGACCTTGAGGTGGGGATGGACAGCAGAGTCTTGTCCGGGGGAGGTAGCCCATCTCTGCTCAGATTCAAAATCTAACATATAACATCTTCTGAGTCTTATATTACCCTTTAAAACCAAACCTTTGGAAAGCTTATACCATGCCAGAGTTTGGTTTATGGACTGAGTCATGCCAGTGTGAACCTGGACCTTGGAACCAACCACAAAACCATGCAGCACATTTGTAACTGCTGTTTGCAGGGTGTCAGGCAGAGAGGATGGGATTTTTGTAGAAGTAGAGCAAAAACTAAGCAAGACTATCTTGGCTGCTTTAAAATAATATGTGAGCAGAACAACGTGGTTTTGTAGTGAATAAGAGGGTGGATGATCGTCACCAGCCGATGTACTTTATTTTTACTAATTTTTTTATGACACAGTTTGGCGAGACCTGGAATAAAAGATCAGCAGGTTAAAAAAAAACTAGAACAAACAAAAAAATAAAAATAACGACATGCAATTCTTGCTCAGAAGTGTATCCCTGTCATCCTTACTCAGCAGATGAATAACCAAGCTGACTATGCAATGATAACACCAGTGGTTATTTTGGATGACTTGCAGGTAACACTGCAGTGACCTCAGAGTGATGATGTTTCTAATACATGTAGAAGAAACATCCAGCTTACAAGAGAAAAGGCAAAAATAAACACACCTTTTAGACTTTTCTTTTGTATCTGTGATACCTTTTTTGATGCATCTTTATTATCACTTTTTCCATAGGAAAAAGTGCAATTACAGTCGTTTCAGCGTGAGCCACAATGGTTCAAATAAGACAAAAAGTGCATAAAGCAGTGATATAAAAATTCATAATGTGTATGTTTTATATCAAAAAAATATATAATGGTGAAATGAACAACAAAATATAAATGAAATGAGAATTTTTTGCTCCATGACACCTGATTGCAGAAGAGGATTAGGGCCACTGAAAAAAAACACAACAAATGTAACTGATTTTTACATTTTATTTCAGTAAAAAAAAGAAAAAAGTCAGAATTCTGACTTTAATCTCAGAATTCTGACTGAATTCTGACAGCTAACAACATGTCAGCATCAAGCCGTAGCAATGTCTGTTTTAGAGATTAGCTCTCTTGTTTTAATCACCTTCTGCTCTTCCATTAATGAAATAGCATCACCGGAGACCCCTGGGGAATGTAAAAAGTTGCCTAATTGCATTATTTTCCACCAATGTGTTAGTGGCCCCCCAAAACAACTCAACCTTTGTCAGTGAAGCTGAGTGCTCCCACTTCTCTTCCTTCATGGTGCCCATATACATTAAGATCCAAAATTTTGAGATTAAAGTCAAAATTCCGAGAAAAAAGTCAGAATTTTGAGGAAAAAAAAGTCAGAATTCTAATATTAAAGAGAATTCTGAGAAAAAAGTCAGAATTTTGAGAGAAAAAGTCAGAATTCTAAGATTAAAGTCAGAATTCTTAGATTAAAGTCATTATTCTGCGATTAAAATCAAAATTCTAAGAAAAAAGTCAGAATTTTGAGAGAAAAAGTCAGAATTTTCAGATTAAAGACAGAATTCTGAGAAAAAGTCAAAATTCTGAGAAAAAGTTAGAATATTGAGAAAAAAAGTCAAAATTTTCAGATTAAAGTCAGTATTCTGAGATTAAAGTCAAAATTGAGATGAAAGTCAGAAATCTGAGAAAAAGTCAGAATTCTAAGATTAAAATCAGAATTCTGAGATTAAAGTCAGTATTCTGAGAAGAAAAGTCAGAATTTTGAGAAAAAAAGGTCAGAATTCTAAGATTAAAGAGAATTCTGTGAAAAAAGTCAGAATTTTTTAGAAAAAAAGTCAGAAACTAAAAAAAAGTCAGAATTCTGTGACTAAAAGTCAGACTTTTTTCCCATATTAAACTGAAATAAAATGTAAAAATCAGTAAACTTTTTTTTTATTTTTTCAGTGTCCCTAATCCTCTCCGTACCTGATGCAAACGATGAGATGCAGTCTTGAATGTGTCTCCTGCTCAGCAGGAGCAGCTTTATTTAGATGAAGCTGATAAATGAGCCATAATAAGCAGAGGCTTAGTGCTGCATGGAGGAGTGAGTTTTACTCAGAGTGATTTCAGAAACAATGAGTTAGATATGATCCAGAGGACAGACAGTCCAGATCACTTTGACCCTGCTTCCAGAACCAGGTCTGAATCTGAGCCCAACAACAGAACTATTGTGGACCAAGAGGGGCTGCTGCTGGGTTAGTCCCCCCCTCTCCTCCCACTTTCCCCACTCCCACTAACGGATCTCCTGCTCCACGGAAAGGATCCAACTTTCTGGATCTAAATGATCCTCGGATTGTTCAGGAAGGAGAGGTTCTTTTCACAAAGGTGACAAGTCCAAGTTCTCCAGTGGTGGAAGATTAACCTAAACTCTGCGTGTTTTTATGAGCGCAGCTGCTTGATCTGGAGGTTTATGTGCGAGCTGCGGCAGAGAGACAGAGGAGCGCTGAGGGAAGGAGCTGGAAACTCACTGGAAAATAAAGCAACATGGGCAAGGTAAATGCCAGCGATGTCTGCCTGCGTGGATCTGCTTACATGCTTTCCTTCTTATTTATTTATTTTATGGATGCATTTTAACAAGAAAAATGTTTCTAAACCAAAAAAACTAACAAAAAAACTGTAAGGATTCCAGCGAGTTTCAGATTGTTGTGCGTAAAATGGTTAGATTTGGTCTGATTATTCAAACTTGGCTCAATTATAGATTCAATGACGCAACTTTCGTGCAAAAGTAAAAAAAAAAAGGTTGTTTGGAAGTTTGTGGCCCGCATACCTCTGACTGGGAGACCGATCTTCATCGCATACCTTTTTTATTTTGGTTTGCATCAGTAAAATGAAGCTTATCGTGTTTATCTGTGCAAATATATCCTCTTTTTTTATTTCGATCCGTTCTTTGCTTTTCTAAACGGTCAGAGGAGCATAATAAGATAATCAGTCATGACCTGTTTGGTCACATGGTGTCTCTGTGAGCAATTGACTTGAAGTAAACTGTGTTGGTTTGATCTGAAAAGGATAGGAAATCAGGTTTTCTAAAGCTTTCCATTAAGCATAAATCACACATTGTGTAAAAAAAGTCATTTTTTTTTTACATAATGTCCTGACCTGAGATTTTTAGGTTGACTAAAACTGGGATATATTTGGTGAAAAAAAAGAAAGCTTTGGAAAATCTAAATATATTTTTGCATTATCCAGCTTCTAATATATGGAGGACCGGCTCTACCATATTTAAAAATAAATACAGAAATAAATAAATGCTTTGTAAATAAATTAGCATACAATTAATTGCCCCCACATAAATTTAGTTAGAAATTAAATTATACAGTGAGCTTCTTTATTTATTCACCTTTGTAATAATTACCTTATTTATTTATGTGCATGTTATAATATCTTTCTCTGTTTTATTCTTCCTTTGTCTTTTTTTTTTTACCCTATTTATTTCTTCAATGCTATTTATTTCTGCCTGTTGTTTTTATATTTCTTTCTGCATTTCTGCCTCATCATGCAAAGTAGGAGGGGCAGAGGTCTTTAACATGGGGTCCGAGACCCCTAGAGGCTCCAGGGAGGTACTGCATGGGGGTTGCAAAAGTTTTGGTTGATTATACTTTTTTTTTTTTTTTCCACTAATTGAAATGTCTTCAAATCCACATGAACATTAATTCAACACACTGTAGTAAACAGATAAATTGAGGCAGAAGATGTCTTTCAGTCATTAATGCTCACATTCAGTGACACACTGGAGCTCTTTCAAGCTGGGCACCGTTTCATTCACAACACCTGTCCCATCAATCAGGAATCAGAATTAGAAATACTTTAATAATCCTAGGGAGAAATTACTTTTATCACATGACTCCATCTGTAATAGCGTGACTATAGGATCAGTTTGATATAACACAATTCATACACTATATATAATTAGGGGGTCCGCGCTCTGCCCCAGTTTGGGGGTCCTTGGCCTGGAATTGGTTGGTTAACATTTTACTGCATTGGTCCAATCTGCAGGAGGAGAGGAGAGTCTGAAGTCACTGACCGTTTCTCTATTCTTAAGAACATGAGTACGGACTTATGTCCTTGTCAAGTATGTTCTTGAGGACGAATAAATACTATTTATTTATTTATAAATATGGTAGAGCTGGTCCTCCATACTGATAGATATGGACTCAAAAAAAAACAAAGCAAAAAACATAGGAATAAGCTTGGATCAAACTTCTTGGCAACATTTGGAACAATCCACACTTCATGCATGAAGTAAACATTTTCTTTCTGTTTCTGCTGCAGTAAGACTTTATTTTAAGAACAACCATATCATTATGTCACATTGCAACAAAGCAGAAAAATGTCTGCTATGAGGGCGTCTCTGTGAGTTGAACCGCTCCTTCTGTAACAGACATGGGAATGATTTTGGTTCAAAGGTTCAAAGGAGATTATTTCTGTATGTAATTTGCCATTTCTAAACAGTTTTAACAAAAATGAAACTAAACGAAAACTTGAAATATGTGGAGGTGGAGATGATTAAATATGTTTAAAACAGAGAAGAAAAATGAAGTGCCATAGTAAAGTATTTTTTTGTATTAAATAAACCATTTTTGATGGAAAATTAGAAAAACTGTGGTTTTTTCAAGATTATAATCTCTCATCTTACTTATTGCAACTGATCTCATTGATTTCTCTTTGTCTCTATAAAATGGAACAGAAGAAATGTTTCTTTCAGTAATTTTTACTTTAAGTTTAAATTTTCCTCAGTGTTTTTTAAAAACCTTTATTAGAGTAACATTTTGCACCGGTAACTTTACTTGTATTTAAACTACTGTATTTGTGGGCCCTATTTGTAAAATATTTATCCAAATACTTGTACTTTTACTTGAGTAATACTTTATTTGTTGTTTTTTTTTATTTTTTTGCATTCCTTCCACCTCTGCATACCACCAAATGGTGTACAGGAACAATCTGGTGCTGAAACATGTCAATCATCTGGGCGGGTAATCAGATTTCAGGGGTTACAAAATCCCTAATTACACATCTTTACTGTACAAAAGGTTACTTCATGGGTTTTTATCATTTTTTTTTGGGGGGGGGTGTATTTTATTTTAAATTTGAATCCCCATTTTGCTGCAGATTTCACATCTTGGAGTTAATAAAATAAATCTATACGTCTATCTTGGTCTTAAGTGACATGAGTTTGTCAATTTGTGTTCTAGTCCCTGGAGATACTTTCATTTTTTTCTACAGGCTGGTTTCTCAGCTTGGATTTCTTTGCACTTTAGGAATGGATAATTAGAATAAAAGGTTGTTTTAAAAGGGAATTATGTCTTTCATTTTCATTTAAACTAAAGGGAGAGGAAAAATGCTTTTACCAGCCTTTAGCCAGTAGTGTCTTATTAACTCACTGGTGTTTGTTTTTATGGTGAATATCTCTTTTTTTCTCATGTCTTCTCACCATCTCTTCTGCTCACCACACTCTTAGTGTCTCTGAAAAGTCCTCCCCATCTTTTTTTCCCACTTAGGGGGCCCCTTAAAGCCTGATGTGCTGTATAAATAGATTTAATAGCTAAAAGTGGAAAAAGAATTCAGAGAAACTGTATAGTTTGAGAATTTCCCCCCCATCCTACAAAGTATCAGTAGTGGTCTGGCTGTTGTGTTCTGCCAGGAACAATTTATGAATACAAGTCTTCTCTTCATATAAGTAAACTTTATTTACTAAGCATCCATTTTTTTGACATGTTTGAATGTAGAACTAAAAGTAAATTACATATATAAGGAGAAACCAACACTGTGACCCTATCAGTAGGCAGATTCAGGCATCAGCAGTGATCCATGTCGCCTCCAAATTCTACAAATCTTTTTGGGATTCTGGGAATCTTTAAAAAAAAAAAATGATGTCTTTCAATTCAGTTTATTCCCATAGCACCAATTCACAACACATGTCATCTCAAGGCGCTTTACACTTCACCAGTTCATTGAGAGCTGTATTTGGATTCTTCTGGACCAGACAGCTTAATTTTTTTCAAATAGAGATTCTTTCTATCAGAAAAAACACAAACTGAGTAAATAAGACAAAAAAATATATTATTTGATTTACAGAGACTTAGACTTAGGCTCAGACAGTACTTTATTGATCCCTTGGGAAGACTCCCTCCGGAAATTAAAGGAATAGTACACCCAAAACATGATTAGCCTTCATTTTCTACTCACCCCCATGCTGAACAACACTCTGGAGTACTTTTTTGATATCTCAAATGCATCTGGAGATCTGGGAGGCTTCTTGCTGTCTGCTGACATTCAAATAATGGAGGTCTATGGTGCCCGAGGCAGAAAGGTCCATAAAAGTCCACAAAAAACGTGTCAATATTCCTCCATACTGCTCGTCCAATGTATTCCAAGTGTCCTGAGTGGGTAGCATCCAGAATTTAGTCGAAACAAAGTCATTTAGAATGTTTTTAGAGCATAAACAGTAGTGTTTGGCCCCTCAAATTAAGAGTAAATACACTTATTTTAAGATTTGTTTTACTAATTTTAAGATGGTTTTTGCAGTGCAAAGAATTAGATAAGTTAGTGTTTTTTTTTAGTATACAAATATCATACATATCCAGTTATTTTACATAGTTATACCTATAGCTTAAGTAAGGTCGCAAGATTTTGACATGATTATGTATAACTTTCTTAGACGTATGGCATTTTTTTTTTTAAAGGCTTTATTATTTTATTCCATTTGAAACGCTCTCTAAGATGCATTTAAAATCAACTTAAAGAAATCGCTTTTTTTTTTATGTTCAAAACATTTAGTACAGAAAAGTTCCCTTTTTTTGTTTCACTTAGAGCCGGTCTGCATCAAACCTGCTTTTGCAATAGGGACCCTTATGTGTGCATCCAATTTGGGCTAAAAAAAACAACTGATAACTAAAAGAAAGGCTATTAAAAGTTTTGTCAAACGAGTCGGACAGATGGGAACGCAGAGAAGTTAATGGTAGTTGCTGGTGTTGAAGCAGAATATTTACCACTGCAGCTTAGCTGATCTATGGGCTTTAAATCTGTTAAACTTTCATTAAAACTCTATGTGTGCATAATGATTAACCTGGGATTCAGTGGCTAACAGAAAGCATTGGACACATTCTTCTTATCGCATTACAGTTTGGTTGGTCAGAAACAGAGACAGGATCAATAGGATCTGCTTTTATTTAGAATCAGCAACAGATTATAAGAACTGTGGGATTACAGTCATATCACCTTTCCTTTTTTCATCTATTAGCAATGTGAACCATGATGCTGTAAATGTCTGGAATATTCCTATGAAAATGATTTTTGTTTTTCTTTTAGAAACTATGTGGAACCAATTATCCTCTCAGCATCTGCTTCATAGTGGTGAATGAGTTCTGTGAACGATTCTCCTACTATGGCATGAAAGGTAGGAAAGGCTCCTGTTAGAAAGATAAAGATGGTGGGTTTATCCTCAACCTAAAGAAATGGATTGTTTTGTATTTGAAATAGAATGTATTAGGTTGAGAAAACAGCTTAAACTTAGATTAGAAAATTTTATGCTCAAAAGTTTATCTTCGTTGCCATTTTTTCATAAAAATAAGTGGTGATGAAAAAAAAACTTGTTGTTTAGGAAGATTTCATTGTTAATTATCTCATCGGTGTGATTAAAATGTGTGTTTTTGCAACGTGGACCACATTCACTTCAAGAAGTCAGCTTAGTTTTCATCCTGTTTTTTACTCTAAGAACTAAAAAGATGTGTTCCATGATTTAGTAGGTTTTGCTGGAGGTTTCTTCCTGATAAAAAGGAGTTTTCCTCTCCACTTTCGCTGTATGCATGCTCGTGTGAATATCTACTGTCGCCACATGCTCATCCAGGAGGAACCGATCCTTTAAAGTTGATATAATAAGCAGGTTTTCCTTAGATAGAAAACTGAACTGATCTGACTGGATGATGGGATTGATTTTTCTCTATAAAAGGCCTTAAGATGACCTGTGTTGGGAATTGTCGCTATATAAATAAACTAATTTGAATAGAGACTTCCAAATATCCCCTTGGTCAATAACTTTTTTCTCCTTGTAACGTAATTATCTTAAAAATGCTTTAAACTGTGACTTGTACCTGTTTTTGATGTAGCAGTTAGTTTAAGTTAAAAAAGGGACGTTAAAGTCAGGTTTAGTTTTAGCTGTCTATAGTAAATTAAATAATTTCTTCATTCAGCTCTAATTTGCAAGGTTTTTTTTTAAACATTCTTATGCTTAAAAATTATAGCAAATACAATCCAGTCCTACCGACAAATTCAGTTACCGGTACATAAATTCCAATTTAATGCATTTTATAAATACTGCAGTCAGGCTCAGTTGATTGTCAGTTGGTTAAGAAAAATGTAAAAAAAATTGAGAAAAAAAAAAGAGTTGTTAGTTTTAGAGCAATCCCTCATACTGAGCATGCATGTAGCGACCGTGAAAGGTTGAATTATTGTAAAACGAAAGACCGGCTCACCATTTGTTTGGGACAAAATTATGGCAGTGATTGCTGCATATAGTAAATAAGGTTTGGCTGCTATAAAAATTGTTTTTAAGATCTTTTCTCACTAGTATCCTTTAACTGATGCCACGATTTGCAGTAAGGCTACAGAGGATTACAAATGATTTAATCTTAAAACGGTAATCCAAAGCACTGAATATAAACACATGAAGACAGCAATCAAGAATTGGAATAAGCATAAAAGTTGAAACCTAAACTAAAAGTCATCTAGTGGAAGATGGCAGCTCTAAACACTTTGCTGGAATTTCCTGGTTCTTCATATCTAGATGAAGAAAGCAGCATTTATTGCAAAGAAAACATGCAAAAACAAACTGAAACAGTGATTTCATAAGAGGCAAGATAATTAAACAGACTCTAGGAGGAAATCTAACAGCAAATGAGTAGGCTGACCAAAAGAACACGACAAAATGTCCACAATCTTTTGAATTTGAACGATTTTTGCAAGTTTAGAAGTGAAGATGTGGGATAATGGGATTCCTTTAATAGAAAACAAGAAGCTTAACTGAATCAAAAGGTACAATAGGTGTTTCTTGTCTTTTCTGTTTCCAAATACATGTTGAAAACAATTTGCAGCATGAGTTGAACCTGCTGTTTTAACAGAGATGTGAACAGACGCGATGGTCAGAGCTAACGTTTGTGTGTTTGACTGCAGCGGTGCTGACGCTGTATTTCCTCAGCTATCTAAAATGGGACAAGGACCTCTCCACCGCCATCTATCACGCCTTCAGCGGCCTCTGCTACTTCACTCCCATTTTGGGAGCCATCATTGCCGACTCCTGGCTGGGAAAATTCAAGTGCGTTTTCCGGTCCTTTACCTCCACTCTCTCTGATTCACAGATGATCGATTAATCTATATGATTTCATAATCTGTATGAAAGCAGGATTACAAATGTTTAATCCCACATGTTTAATCCCAACAGGACCATCATCTACCTGTCCATCGTTTATGTGATTGGCCATGTCATTAAGTCTGTTGGAGCCATTCCTACTGTGGGAAACACCGACGTTCACATGTAAGCTGCTGTGTCGACACCTTTTACATCTTTGATGAGGATGAGGAGTGTCATGAGGGTTAATCCAGAAGCTTGAAATCAGGTCTAAGATTGAGCAGCTTTTTGTGCCTTCACTGCCAACTTGTCAGAATCGTTAAAAGCCATTCCAGAGTTTCCAGTTTTATACTTGGATGTGTCTAGTTTGTTAATTCGGTATTCTCCTCTCCATCCTGCACTGTTTCTGACTCCTTCTAGCGCTCTGTCCATGGTCGGCCTCATCCTCATCGCTTTAGGCACGGGTGGAATCAAACCCTGCGTGGCGGCGTTTGGAGGAGATCAGTTTGAAGAACAACATGTAAGTATCTTTGTATTGGTGGTTTATGCTGTTTATTGTATTTTTATCCGCAACTAACTTTCTATTGCATGTCATAAAAAAGCCAAAAAAACCCCCAAAAAACTGTATAGGTAAAACCTTAAATAGATAATAGATAAGTACAGTTTGAAATGTACGAAACAAAAACAAAAATATAGTTTCCAAATTTTTTTTTTTTTTTTCTGGCATTAGGACTACCTTAGATGTTTGGAAATATAGAAGAAAATCTCCAGATGACCTTTCTTACACATGGTTACAATTTCAATGTTTAAAAACAATTGAAAATCAGTTTTGAAAATCAATTTTAACCCATCCATCAGTTTTCCATCACGCTTATCCCAAGCAGAGTCTGGAGGGGTGCTGGTGCCTATCTCCAGCTGTCAACGGGGTACACCTTACTGTAGATAGGTGTACCAAGTTGTCCATCTCAGGGCATGTTTTTAATTACTTGACCAAAAAATTAAGCAAAATAAATAATACAAGTACAAAATCTGCACACATTCCAGTTCAAATAACAAAAAAAGACAATCTGGACAAAACGACAACCCTATTTAACGTCTTGACATAGGGAATAATTATAACCCTGAGTGAAATATTTAATGTCTGGGTGCACAGTTTACTTTAACTCGTATAACTTCACTTTATTTCCGTCTTTACCTCTAGATAAAGGAAAGGCAGAAATTCTTCTCCATCTTCTACATGTCCATCAACGCTGGGAGTGTTTTGTCAACGTTGATAACACCAATCCTCAGAAGTCAGTATTTGCAGTCAAAATGACCATCATGTTTTCGATGTCCTGTGAGGTTCCCCATGTTAGTAACGACCTTCTGCTCCTGCAGGTGAAGTGAAGTGTTTTGATAGTGAATGCTATGCCCTGGCTTTTGGAGTTCCTGCGGCTTTGATGGTTGTGGCTCTAGGTAAGAATTTCATCTATTCTTCATAGATGCAGATCAGTTGGAAGAACTTGGCGATACGATACACACCCCGATACACGAGTCATGATACGTTTTATATCTATACATATATTCATTGTTGTATTATTTCAGATTGGATATGATTTATTTATCTGGAACAAAAAACTGTCATATTCGTTATCATGGTTTAGATAAAACAAAATCTGCTCATTTTAGATAGTTTCAGCTCATATAGAATTGATGGAGTTGCAGGCTGAAGTCTGCATGCTGAGGCTGTTTGTACGAGCTTGGATTCCTCCTGATCAAGGCCATCCACATCCATTGTGACGGACAGTTTTCTCTGCCCCTTATTCACCGTCAGCACTGATCCTTGTGGATTTCATGCCTGGTCGGATGCTCATTGTGCAAAACAACTGTGGTTTAGCAATATGAATGTTAACAGATGTATGTCACATATGGGGCGAGACATAAATTTGCTCTAGCTTTCATGGACTATATCATTTTCATTTTTAAGACGTTTTGAAAGGCTTTGATTTACTTTAACCTTTTTGTATTTTAATATATATTTTGATGTCCTTATTTTGTTTTATTTTTTATTGACTGTAGCACTTAGAGATTTGTTTTGAAATGAAAGGGCATTAGAAATAAAATCTATTAGTATTTTTGTAAATATTATTCTTACCAAAAATCCACAATGTGGGCAGGATAAAAGCTTTTTAAAATGGCTGTTTTAGATGTTTTTTCTCAAAAAACTAAATAGAACATCTTGAAAATAATCATTGACAACTTACCCAGGTGCAATAATTAGTGTTAGAAACATCCATCCATCCATTCATTTTCTTACATGGTTAATCCCAAGAAGGGTCACTAGGGGTGTTGGTGCCTATCTCCAGCTGTCTATGGGCGAGAGGCGGGGTACACCCTGGACAGGTCGCCAGTCGCAGGGCAACACAGAGACAAACAACCATTCAAGCACATTAGAAACATTACTTTAAAAAATCAACTAGTTATAGTAATTAGTTAGTTCTCAAAATAATTGGGTTAGTAACTCACAATCTAACCCAATTACACCAACAAATACCAAGGAGTACCGAGACAAAGCCAAGGCCTATGGAGGCCGAGACGAGACAAAACATAGAAATATAGAGGCAGAGACCTATACAAGACCAAGGCATTTAGAAGCTGAGACCAAGATAAGACCAAGACATTTAGAAGCCGAGACCAAGACAAGACCAAGGCATTTAGAAGCCGAGACCAAGACAAGACCAAGACATTTAGAAGCCGAGACCAAGACAAAACCAAGGCATTTAGAAGCCGAGACCAAGACAAAACCAAGGCATTTAGAAGCCAAGACAAAACACAACCATTTAGAAGCTGAGACCAAGACAAGACCAAGATGTATAGAGGCTGAGGCCAAGACAAAACCAAGATTTTAGAGGTTGAGACCAAGACACATTGTGGCTGAGACCAAGACAAGACTCAGGCATTTAAAAGCCTAGACCAGGAAAGGACCAAGGCATTTAGAGGCTGAGACCTAGACAAGACCTTTAGAGGCCGAGAGCAAGACATATGGGGGTTAAGATCAAGACAAGGCCAAGGTATTTAGGGGCTTAGAAAAAGATAAGACCATGACATGTAGAGCCCCGAGATCAAAACAAGGCCAAGACCTTTAGAGGAAGAGACCAAGACATATAGAGGCAGAGACCAAGACAAGACCAACACATTTAGAAGCCAAGACAAGGCCAAGATTTTAGCGGTCGAGACCAAGACCAAGAGATATTGAAGCAGAGAACAAGACAAGATCAACACCTTCAGAGGCCAAGAGCAAGACCAAGACACACAGTGGCTGAGATTAAGACAAGACTCAGGCATTTAAAAGCCTAGACCAGGAAAAGACCAAGGCATTTAGAGGCTGAGACCAAGACAAGACCAAGACCTTTAGAGGCCAAGACCAAGACATTTAGAGACCGAGACTAAGACAAGACCAAGGCATTTAGAGGAAGAGACCAAGACAAGACCAAGGTCTTGGCCTTGTCTCTGTACTCCTTGGTCTCAGTTGGTGTGGTCTTGACTACTACACTAGTTGAGTTGGGGGAAAATCAAACATGTTTGCCATTCAGTAGGCCGTCGTTGGATCGCCTCAGGTTGTCGGGACGCACTGTGTGAGAACATGCATCATTAGCTGTGAACTTTTAAACCCTGCGGTTTCGTCTTACAGTTTGAGCTGTAGCTGTATGCAACGATTGAAAATATTGCATAGTGTATGCCCCCCGTCCATGCAGTAGTAACTCACAGCGTTATATTGCAAGTACAGTAAATGTGTTACTAGTATGTAGAAGTAATTACTTAGATTGCTTTTTAAATGAAAAACTTAAAGTTGCTAACACTATTATAATGTAACACTCTTACTCTCAACACTGATACCAAATAGAACAATAAGATATAATAAAAGAAGGATTACTAAATGGAGGATGGAATGGACTGGATTTTGTTCAGATTTGGAACCATAACATATTAAATATATATTATTTTAATGGATAATAGAGTTTTGTAAGGATAGATGAAATCCATTTTAACATTTCTTTCTCATCTAATGTTTGAAATATTAAGCAAAGCTGTTGTTTTTGTACTTCCACTGGAGCTGTTGTTAATTCTCCATCTGGTGGTCCACAGCTGTGTTCATATTTGGCAGCAGTATGTACAAGAAGACTCCCCCTCAGGGAAACGTCCTCGGAGAAGTCTGCAAATGTATTGGTGTGAGTCCTCTCATCTCATCTCCATCCTGTATCATGTTTAGGATCAGATGGAACAGCAAATGTAGAATGTGGGATTATTCTAGTATCACATTTAAGTTCCTGCCCTTATAATTCATCCCCAACTACTTCTCCTGTCAGTTTGCCATCAAAAACCGCTGGAGAAGCTCGAAGCCTGGCCTACAGAGGAAGCACTGGCTGGATTGGGCTGAAGACATGTACCCGGTAATAACCCACCCATTCTGGTTCTCTGCAAGGGAAAAAGAAGGAAAAAAAAAAAAAACTACAGTTAATGGGTCTGGAAGAAACTTTTCTAAACCCAGATTAGTGCAAGAATCCAACCAGGTTTCTGTTTTCCTTTTAACAGAAGCGTCTTATCCAGGAGATTAAGATGGTTCTACGGGTTCTGGTTCTTTACATCCCCTTGCCCATGTTCTGGGCTCTGTTTGATCAGCAGGTATGTGTTTTAATGGATGCTCTTTAGGGAGAAAGGTTTATCCCAGACGGTTCATATAATTGAAACATTAAGACCCAACAAGGCAGAAGATTCTATCAGAGTCCGGAGTTAATTAAACCATAGTTTACCTTCATAGCTGTATGCAGCCTTGCTATAGATATGGTTATTCTATATAAGAACTGGCAGATCAAGAAACATTCATTCATTTGTAGTTTTTCATAACTTTCTTTGGTGGCCACACTTCATTTAGTCATCTAGCATCTTGACTAGAATATATATAAATATATAGAAATACACGCATTGTCTTAAGAAATCCTAAAAGGTGATTATGATTGTTATCAAGTCAAAGTTTTTAAGAATCAGAAAAACCTTTCATCCAAGTATGGGAATAGGAGGAGCAGCGTCAAACAGACGTAAAAGACAAACCAGGTAATATTTACACAGAAAAATTTAACCAAAATAAGAGATGACGGTGTATGACTATATATGCTAAAATATATGTGTATGAAAGCAGAGGTGTCAAAACTATTAATATTTACTACTCAATTAGAAGTTTAAATCCTACCATTTAAAAACCCTTTTGTAGAAGTTAGAGGCTCAACTTAAGCTTTTTACTCAAGTAAAAGTGTAAAAGTACCATTTTTTACTACTACTTAAAATATAAAAGTAAAATGATTAAAAATGGAAAAGGAAAAAATGTTTAGAACAGATGCTTTAAATAATTGTTCCTGCATTACCCTATAAAAGGTACATTTTTCTACAATTCTGGATGAGGACTTACTTATAATTAGTTTTCTTAGTTTTATAGCTAATGGCAAAAGCTTCAAATTTAACTTTACATCATCTTGAAGTAAGGTGTAGAAAGTAGAGATAATCGCAAAATAAATGTAAGTAGTAAAAAAAATGTCCAAAAATGAATTACTTTAGTATAGATTTCTAGTAAGGCAACAAAATATTTGTACTTACTTTACACCTCTGTATGAAAGCAATAATTCTGCGTTTTTGGGATATTTTTACATGCAATTATAGATAGATTACAGTTTCCTATTGTCCAGTACAAACAGAGCTGCTCTTAGAGGCTCACCTAAATCAGAGTATATATAGTGACCAAATTAATAATAATTTTGTCATTAAAAAAGTTAATAAGCTGCTGATTTTCTTTTTTTTTTTACTGACCAAAATCAAGATGATGGATAGAAAAAAATCCAAAATCCAAAAGATCAAAATTTTACGTTCAGCGTCCCTGATTTTTATTTTAATAAGCTCACCCTTCATTTATGTTAACAAATCAGAGTAAAAATTGTTGTAAGCATATGAAGTGTTTCTTTAGTGCGTTATCGTTTTTTAGGAATCTGTAGATAAAGGCGGGGCTGTGATCAGAGTGTCATTCTGTTTATATGATTGTGTCCTGTTGTTTACTTTATTGCAGGGTTCCCGCTGGACTCTCCAAGCGACAAGGATGAACATGGCTTTTGTAAGGAAGTCTTTATGTTGTTTGAAAGCACTAAAAAGTCCAAACGTTTGCTCTTTGATATCAGTGGGTGGATTTCAGTGAAGATCTGATTTCATAAACCCTCTCATAGAACAAAATTTTTTTTTTTTTTGGGGCTGTTGCCACACTTTTTTATTTTATTTTTTTCAGTGAATTAAATTCTTTATGGCATAGATAATTTGTGCACACCCCAGTATGTATTTACTAAATTAACTTTAAATGGTAATTCTGTTTTCTAACAGGGAAATTCCTTCACCATTAAGCCCGACCAGATGCAGGTATGTGCACCTCATTCTGCCTTCAGAATCACAACAGGACGTCCAGACCGAGAGGCGATGCATCCTCATAAAACCTTCATGAAGCACATAATGTGCTTTAGTGTTCATGAGTTAAAGTTATGAGGTTCAAAGTTTAGTTCTTGATTTGAGAAAAAAGGGAACCCAATTTTCTTTCATTCTTTGGTGAAAATCATTCTAAATGAGAAAAAAAATTGCTCCAATTAGGATCCTCTCTTAGTGTTGAATGGTAAAAATCCAGGAAGTAAAACATCTATTATTACACTCAAGCATTATGATGATTTACAGTTAGAATACTTCATGAGGAGTCAATATACTGAAGAGAACATGGGTTTTTTTGTTTTTGTTGTAAAATACCCTATGTGCTGTTTTAATTAATAATATATTAAGACATTTTTACAATAATTAATATGAACAGCCTTTTTTTGTGGTGCAATAGTTTTGTTTAAGGCATAAATTATGTGTAAAATTGCACCCCCAATGAGGAAGAAACAAAAAGTGTCCTTATTTTTGTATCCACAGTAAAAAAAAAAAAAAGCCTAACGTCCAGCGTTACGCTCCTGGGAAAAAAGTGAAATAAAATACTGCACCTCTTAGCAAACCTGGATTTATTAAGTGCATTATTTATGTGGCTTGTTTGAACCTTGATTGCCAACTAGTGTTTTACACATACCAAGAAATTTGCTTTGTTGCTACTTATAGATGAAAACGACTTCTATGTACATTTGGAAATGTTGGATTGTGGGACTAAAAAAAATGCACGTTTTATAGGAAGTTTATGAGAAAAATCTAAAATAAAGACTAGATGAGAGGAAATGAAATCATATTTACAGCTAGTTAGATACTGCTGCCCTTTCTTTGGCATTATTTTTTGTTATGCACCATTTAAGCAGGAACTGCTACCGCAGACAAAAACAGCTGCTTTTTACTTATGGCTGAACATGATGTGTTTTTAAAGCTGTAAATAATCTATCAGGTTTTCCCAGTGCTGACGTTAGCAGGAGAAAGGGGGGGGGGGGTTACTACCTGAAGGTCAGCTCTAAGCTGAGTCAGTCACAAACCCCTACGTTCTCCACATTTTCTACATTCTCGCTTTATCAGGCCTTTGGAACAGCAGTCAGATGAACACTCAGACATCCTGGTGTTTACTGAAGAGGAAGAAACTGTGTGTTTGTGTAAAAGTGGTCTTAAGTGTCTTAAATCAATAAAACAAAGACTTAAGATAAGGGGATAAATCATTACGACATAACTGGGTTAATTTTGTTAATTTGATCTTTTTATTTTTAGATAAAACATCGGTGGTCTTAAGCTGTCGCCTTTTTTTATGTGTTTAGCAGTCCTATGTTTTTTTTGGTATCTTAGCCTATTTTATTTTTTTTTAACCTTAGCTTATTCACTTTCTTTTTCCTAATAAGTCAACGTTTTTTTTTTTTTTTAACTAACTCCACTGATGTTTTGTTAGTAAATCTAATGATAATAACTCCTCCTTTGCTTAAATCAATTCCTCTGGTCTGTGTTTCTGTCTGTCTGACAGCTGAGACCATTTGCGTTTTTTTATTTTTTTATTATAAGAACATATTTTTTCATCACTACCAGTAATTATGAGGTTACATGACTTTCAATAACAAAGTTTAAAGGTTGACTTGTCTGTAAATGTACATCAGAAGTGAGTGTTTTATTAAACCAGAGGGACTGCTTCACAAAGACATAATAAAAGTTTACTGATCCATTCATACTTTATTTTTTCCTTATCTTCGCATTTTTAATTTAAGCTACAGATTATACCTCAGGACTTATATAACTGAAAACATGCAGGCCAAGCCTAGACATTTTTTTTTTATGTCTTGAATTCTGCGTCCACAATTCTTCAAGAAGAGAAGACTGTTGGTGTTTTGTTCTCTTTAATGGTGCTCTCACTATTATGTCCCACCTTTATGACTACTTATCACTACCTTGCTATCACTTTATCCTCATTATATTTTAAGAGTGAAGCTTTAATGAGTTTTATTGAACTTTTATGGAACCATTTAATTGCTGTGTTTTCCTCATGTTTTCCGTCTAGATGCTGAACGCGCTGCTGATTCTCGTCTTTGTACCCATCTTTGACCTCATCATATATCCGCTCGTCGGCCTCTGCAGGATCAAAATCACGTGAGTTTGCCCCTGTTGTTCTGTACGCCTGCATCTTTATGGCCGCTGGGAGCATTTAAGCAGACCTGTAAATTGTAAATGGAGGATAATTAAAATCACAGAGCTACACCTTATAGAATAACAATTAAAATCTATAGCTCACTGAACATGATAAAAGCTTTGCTTTTCCTACAGCTCTCAGGAAAAAGTCAAAACTGAACCACAGATGGTTTTATCACATAGGAAAGGGAAACATGCATCCATGAATTGTAATAGACTCAAAAATTATTAAGATAAAAAAATTATTTTTGGTAGACAAATTGATATTTGTATAAATTTATTCAAAACACTTAATTACACAAAAATATTGCTGTCAAAGTAATGTTGCCCAATAGTTAAGTATTTTCTAATTTTGTTCACTGCAAATTAAACACTATAATCACAGCTTTTAACTTTTAATTGGATGCAATGAGAAAACAGAAATGAAGGCTTGAAAACTTCAGAATGTATATAATCAAACTAAATAGGTTTCACTTGATGACCTAAACATAAAGTTTTCAGTGATAACTAATTGATTAGAGTGTGTTCCCTTTAGACTCATAGTGAATTTTAACCTTTCAAAATAAAAGGACAGAAACCGCAAATTACAAAGTTGAATGATTTAAATAAACTAATTATTTTAGATGGAAACAAAGGAGTGAATAACAGTTCAATATTTTTTTTTTACTGTAAAAACATTTACAGATCTTAAGATGGTTTTCTGAAAACCATAACTGTAGTACAGCTAAAAGTCACTTGAAATACAACCATAATGATTCTTTTAAGGGAAATGAAAAGAATTACAATTTCTTTTTTAACCTTCATTTTTTTATTATTAAATCATATTTTTAATTTTTGTTATCCATTTAAGGTATTTTACTTTGGTAGTACTGGTGAGGTATTTGCAAATCCAAGTCTGTTGAATGTGTTTCTATTTAGGAAAAAATGCACTTGTTAGTTAGCTAGTAGTTTAAAAAAAATCCTAGCATTACAATAACGAGCAGAGATGCTAAAATTATTTCTTTTCAGCTTGGAGGTGCATGTTTAGACTGAAGTCTTATCAGAGTGTTGATAATGGAGGTTAGTTAGTGGAAATCACCCTGATAAAGACGTGTCGGTAACAGTAGTAAAAAAAGATAAGAGTGTACAAAAGAGGTTTAGAAACATTCTCGTAAAATTCTACTTTATTTATAAAATGACTCAAAAACTCTGTCCCTCGTCAAGTCATATTTTTTTATTTAATTCTTTATCGTAAGCATTTTTCTTGTCATGTTTTAAATCCTTGTTGAAGTTTAAAGGTTTACGCAATATCATTCAGAAAGAACAGATAAAAGACCAGCTTCAGAATATGTGTCTATTTTCAGGAATTTTATACTGAAATTCTCCAAGAGATAAATGTAAGCAGATTAAAATAGAATAAGAAAAGAAAAAATTGAAGAGAAGCTAATTAACTTTGGACTGCACAGTAAAAACCCGCCCACAAAACCTATGTTTAGTTTTATTTAACTTTTTTGTATTTCTTTTAAAATTGAATTGTGTATTTGGATGGAAATCTATGTTTATTCTTCAATCTCCTTTTTTTGGAGAAGTATTGAGATGTTGAGAAGAATTGTTATATGTGGAAAAGAAAAAGTTGCATTGTAGTTTTGAAAATAAATCAATTAATTAAAGAAGGAAGTGATCAAACATCTGGCTGGCTATAGCTTGTTCACTATGAATAGTCCTAAGGTGAAGATCTTAGGCGAGGGAACACAATAAAGTATTCAAATAAACTCCCTACCCTTAATATTAAAGATGTTTAAAGGGAAATTTCAAAAATGAAGAGTAAGGTTTTACCCCTGTCAAATAGGAACCTTTTCATTGTAAAATATAAACTAAAAAACAAACAAAACAAAAACTCCTATTCAATATCTAGTTAGAGTGGCTCAGGTTATCCAGACCTTTTTCTATAGTTATGCTACTATAGGCTTAGACTGCTGGAGGACATAGGGACCCCTTTAATAACAAGTCAATTTGACTTTATTTTTACATTTTATATTTGGTTTTATCTGTTTGCTGTTTTATCCGGTTAGTGCAGCGTATTTTGGTGTTAAAAGTGATCCCTGTTAAATCCCTGAAATTCTTCCAACAGGCCTCTGAGGAAAATGGCCACAGGGATGGTCTTTGCAGCACTAGCCTTCGGGGCCGCCACCCTGGTGGAGATCAATGTTGTGGTATGTATGAGCATCAATCACGATTTCACACTTAATGAAGTGGTATATAAGTTTAAAGATACATCAGGATACATAATCTTTAAAAGTATTTTGTTGTTTTAAAGATTATGTCCTTTACACCAAATAGTTTTGTTCTTCGACCATTAACTGCTTTTCATAACAATAAATTAAGGTGTTGAAAAGATGGTTTTCTTTATATTCACCGGTGTGGTTTTGACTCTGTGTGCTAGAAAACCGTGGTGGAACCTGCGCCAGCCGGCCATTCCCTGCTACAGGTTTATAATCTGGCCGGAGAAGACATCAGTGTGAATTTTGCTGGCAGCAACCTGTTTCAACAACCCATCAAACACCTTCAGGTAAAAAACAGAGCAAACAATTAAGTCCACAGTAGGGCTGACTTTGCCTCCATCCAGGACTTATTCAGGTCTAGGGTCAGGAAAAGGGCATCTGTTATCCCTATTTACACTATCCTTATGAAACCATGCTGAGAACTGTTAACTGTGGGGGTTAATTGGACGGCAATTGGATTACCAAGGGGGCATGAGCAGGCTGTGTGATCTCCTGTTTACAGTCAGCAAAGTCATTTTGTGGGTTTTCCGACATATCCAGCTTTGTAATTCACAGATCTCTTCACCTGTTCACAACTTAATTAATAAGTTCCTGAATTTATGAGAGCCACCAATAGGAGGCAAGGAACCATGCTAGTGTGATGTGTAGATGTTGTAAGAACCAAGCTCAGCACAGTTAACTGATCCAAGCTTGGATCGGTTAACAAATTGGGCATACGTCACTGCAGACCCCACACATACTGGACACTGTTTTTTTTTTAATTTTTAATTTTTATTTTTTTTTAAACCTTCTAGTCAGGGGTTGCAGACCACAGCTTGCGATAACCAGCTGTCAAAAACAGTTTCTGCGTGGGGCCCATGTTTTTTCATGGGAGTGTACAATAGAAACAAACGAACAACAGAGAATAATCTATTGTTTAGTTCATTAAAGGAACCAAATACCTACTTGTTGCTCAGGAGCTGCAGGTTGATCATGCCAGATCTAGCAGAGGAACCTTAATATGGCTGAAGCTAACGGCATATTGCAGGTTAGAGCCTCACTTTTGTCAGTGCTTTTAAAAATTTGTGAGGAACAAAATGTACTTATAAAGAACTTATTAGGTTTTTTGGGTTGTTTTGGTCAGAATGTTTTACAAACCAAAAAATAAAGCAGTTCTAGAAATTTGCTCATTTTTTTTAGTTTCTTCTTTTTCTTATTTATTCATTTCTATGTGGTTGTTTACATTTAAAGATTTTAAGTACATATTTTGACCATCCTGCTCTTTTCTAACAGGACCCTCTTGAGTATGAAACTCTTCCACTGGGGGGTTCCAACACGGAGCTACATGTTGACGTCACATTTGCAGGAAATACGTCCAAATGCACTTTGTCCTTTGAAGAACAAAAGGCTTATAGTCTCATCATATACAAGGAGGATACTAAAATTAATTGCGAACGGGTGAGTGCACTAACTAAATGCTGTTTTTCTCTCTTTCTTTTGGTAATAGCATAAAATAATTATAATAAAATATTAAGGTTTTAATTTTTCAAACTAAGGCCTTAATTGGTATTAAAATTCATTAAATGTGATTATCAGGGCATTTATAATGCTTATACAAACAATTTTGGGAGATATATTATATCAGATTTAACTGGTTCTGCATGTTTGCGCAGAACTGCTTCCTGTTCATCTTATGTTTGGAAAAGAAGCTCAAGATAGAGAAAAAGTGAGGGAATGGGAAAATGTAAAATTCAACAAAAGTGGCTGAAAAACGAGGAATTTGGAACATAGCTGCAGCCTGTCGACAGTAAAGAATATTATATATATATATATATATATATATATATA